GACAATCCATGCCAGAGCAATAGCTTTCATTATTGGCTGTCGATGATTGCGAAACGGGTTGTGGAACATGTCAGCACTCTTAGCGAACGTAGAATTTTCAAGATTAGAAGGAGGTCATCGGAAAGTTTTTTCTTCCAACTTAGTTCCTATTTCACACAATCCGTTGTCACGTTCGTGCACATCCCAATAAATGTTCATTCGAGTTGCTTCTCCATCAAGATTGGTGATGAAAATTAGCCACGTAGTCATTCATTGCATCTGTTAAAAAAATCTACTGAAATAATTGTCGTCCATTAAAGAAACGGGAGCGTGGAATCGGACAATGGCTTAAAAATGCCAATTAGCTTCAAAAATCATTTGAACTTTCCCAGTGGTTAGGGCGTATGGTGCGCGTGTGGAGCAGTGGTTGAACGTCCTTCCATCCCTCCTGGGTCGGCTAATTGATACCAGACTTGTCTGGGAAGACAGTAGCACTGGCTTTATTTATCGGTAGGCCACTGCGAGTCGCTGTAAAAGCCAGATATGCATTCAGTCATCTCTAGGAAATACTTAATGAACCCGAATGCATTGCGCATCCCTCAGGGATTGATCAACGCCCAGAGCTTTATCCCTTAGGTTTTTAACCAGAGCATATAGTAATACACTTTTAATTAATAGTGTTCAAAAACGGTTAGAGATGAACTGCAACAGACACGTGGTAGTAGGTTCAATTTCACGATTCGGACTCAACAACCCTTCCAACCGTCCAGAATCGGCGATTGGCGCTAGAATTGGCGAGGAGAGCAGCACTGTTTGATATATCGATAGGCTACCACAGGTCAATGTATAGGTCAAAAATGCATGCAGTTGCCTTCAGCAATGTTTGATGAAGTCGAATGCACGGCACGTCCTTCAGACATTGCCGAACGCTTTATGCTTTTGATGTACTTCGTTGAATAATGTGATTTGGGTAAAAAGATGGTTAAATATGACCAGATCTAAAGCCAAAGATTTGGTGAACAAAAAAAATCGCCGTTCTCCTATGACAATGGTGGCTTTTCATAAGGTGTAGCTCTTGGTGCTGATGGCACCTGAATACTCAAATGTCCTATCAACGCGAAAAATTATTGAGTCTTGTGGACTCGATCGTTGGAGCTCGATAGGGCTATGAAGGGTAATAATTTTACACTTGAATGAATTATTACCAGTTGGGTGAGATTTTTCCATTTTAATCCAAGAAAGCGTGCTGGCTGGTTTGTTCCCATATCTGAATGTGACTCTCTTTGAAAAAGAACCTTTGGCAAGAAGGACCATTCAACTATAAAAGTTGAGGAAGATTTCAGAAAGTCGCAGTAAAGTGTTGCATCCAATGAACACATATTAACGAAATTTTTTGTATATCTGGAAAGTCACACAGACAGGTACCGGCATTTCAAACATTGTCTTGTACGTCATGAAGATAAATTCCTACTCGTTTACACTTGACATTGATTTAATGATATTGGGATCAAATAACTGTACAACTGAGTATTTTTTTGCTCTCAAAGTGCTATAGGGCGCAGGGTAGAAAGCCTGGTGAACAACTCTATTGCATCGCCTTTTCTGTTATCCAATCATTGTTATTCAGAAATGTTCCTAACTTTAACGCGCTTGCATTTATGTAATCCTAGGATTGGTCAGTTTTGCAACGGTGTTTTTTCTAGACGACAGCATCAGGACCCGCAACACTGAACCACTGATTTAAAAACAAGTTGGTTTTTTTCTGGTAATGACTATGATCGAATAGTTACGAAATGCTATTAGCGAAGAGTCCTATATGCTTAGTAGGAAGGTAGCCGTTGGCCAATCGGAAGTATGCTCTAATTGCTACTGGTTGCCATGCCGATATTACGGTAGCCGATGAAGCTTAAGGCGGGCGTGCAGCGTGGGCACTCAGGCATTTCCAGCTATTTCAATCAACTCGAGGAATACACCATCAATGTATCCTTCACTTAGTGAGTTTCCGTATTACCCTTCATAGCCGCAAAAAGGTCACTGGTCTCCTTAATGTAAAACTGACACACTGTTTGTGCTTGTCTGGCCACCAGTCAGCGTTTTTTCGGTCATTGCCCAGAGTTCACAATAGAACGGAAGCAGCGCTTCCGCAGCTTATTTCCTGACCCGGCGGAAACCTCGTTTCCTTCCTCTTTCCTTCATGGCCAGCCCTAGCTATCGCTGAGCCAGCTCCTCACCATGGCCCCATTTGTCCATCCTGCGACATATTTCAAAGCTCCTAGAATTATCACAAAAACACACCATTTGTCCAGTTCATTTCAGATCTTCGTGGCAATCAAGCAAATGTAAAGAATGCACGCTATTATTATTGATGGAATACTGTCACATAGTGTTTTTCTTGATTTCTACTACGTTTCATTGGAATATTACCTGCAGAATACGAAGATAGCAAAGCTTTCTATTGTGTGACATATCGAAATTTTCAATAACAAAGATGTGTTTTTACTCGTACCGCAGAATTTTTGAAAGCGCAATCAAACCAAGAAGGGTAGCGCAATAAGAATGTAAACAATAACAGCGATGTTGATCAACGCCTGAGGAGAGCTCCATGTATTCGACTTCACTATGCATCGTAGAGGTGACTGAAATCGTAGCTGGCCCATGAAATACTTTCAGTAGCCTACTGATGTAACAAATCACTGATGGTTTCCTGTCCTTGTGCTAATTTGCCAATACCGGAAAAATTTGAGGCCTGGTTAAGTGCTTGTTCAACAGTGTGCAATTCCGAACACATTTTACCATTGTCTATAGGCGTCTGTTTATTCAAAAATAAAATTTGAAAAAGCTGTAAGTGCTTTAAAATAAGTTTTCTCTTATTTTAAGATGGATATGAAAATATATGTCCCCGAACTGCATGGGATACGTCATTTCCGCAACCAGAAGCCAGTCGACTGAACACAGGTAAATCACAAATCATCAGTATTTAAAAAGACCCGATTTTTAAGTAGCAACGCCATAAAAATTAAAACATTTAAAGCAGAACTCACTACCATTTTTATATTTCTCAACCATCCATTTATTGATCTTCACTAACAAAGGGATTTCAAGGCCATCATCTAATTTACTGTCTATTATTATTTTCCAAGGAAGGGCATAATCTAAAATACAGCGACTATGTTGTTGAGATATTTGCAAAATCCAGATCGAACGACGATTACCCTTTCCGAAGGTTCATGCTTTACGAGCGACACCACTGAGGGCATTGTTTTTTCTTTCTCTCTTTCCTAGCTAGCGGTGTCATCAGCATGATAGGCAGCTAGTAAAAATATAGGGATTTCAATTTGCATACAAACAGGGATATTTGTCTTATAGAATCAGATAACAAGCGCTGAATGCTTCATCGCCTTTTTTTCTGCTACCACTGATAGACATTTATTGTGCTTGTTCCAGTGTTGCTAGAATGATACATGCAGTGATCCAGAAAAAATAGTGTTAGAATTTTCTTCTTGTGTCCAGATGAAGAAATGCTTATAGCCCATCATCACATCGTTACGTTTACAGTTAATTGAAAAACGTCATGATCGATAAGGATAGAAATTTTGAAATCAGGAAACTTCTCTCAATAACCTATTGATTTAGTTCTTATCACGTGTATAAAATTGTGGAAGCTGCACGAAATGTTGCCTCTTATGAATTCATCTGTTTGTAACCTTTTAAAGAAGTTAAATTAAAAACAGCTGTTAAAAAATGCAACCCACATATCTTCATAACCCTTTATCGTTCATTTCCGCTTCATAAAAGCTCAATGCACTTCTAAGAAATTTAGTTAATAGTGATATACAGAAAGTTAAATCCGGACCTTGAAAGGCCACATTTAACAGCTAAATTTCCGACTTGTAGTGAAATTGTAATATGCGACTGAAAGCTCGACTTTAGGAATAACATAATTTTCGTCACAGCTCGTTTTGAACTTCGTTTTAATAACGAACCGATTCCTCCCAACGATTCACCGCCTCATCGTGGGCTGGAGATATCCCTGTGTGTCGTGCTGAGATGTACAGCGAGGCATTCATCTCCCCAGCAGCAGTTCCAATCTGAGAAAGAATCCGGATTTCTGATTAGGACGCCTAGCTGAGAGTGAACCAATACCAGAGTTTGCCACGGTTCTGCTATCAGGCTAGTCGCATGCTAGCAGATCTCCCTCTGATCCACTAAGGCGACGGCTGCCCGTGGTAGTAAGGATCTAGGGTAGACTTTGGATAGGTTGACCTAGAGACTCCAGCGAACCACAATAGCGAAACCAGTCAAATCCCGAAGAATTGGAAATGATTCTAAGGCTCGTACAGCCACTGAAGACGGGTTATCCAAGCATCCAAGTCATGAGCTGATTTCGTTAACTCCGTCAATTTCACATTTGCGCGACAAAGCAGAGCTTTCGACAACTATCCGTAACTTCTCGATAACTCGAACATTCGAAGAGTAAGAAATTTTAGAAGTTTATAGAAAAGCTTTTGGTTCATTGCTTCAAGGGTACATATAGATTTTTTGTAACATATTTATGTCAAACATGTCTAAAAGGAATGTCTTCTAAATTTGAGACAAATATTTAAAATTTTAATTCTTTAAAGAAATGGCAGGAACAGCAAATGCTAAAGATGCATTCGAGTACATCACCACATCTAATCGAGCAAAATTTCTCTTCTCATTCCCTTTGTTGCTCGAGATAGGACCCTTGAGAAGAAATGGCGAAGAAAAACAGAACGTTTTGAGAACTTCAGAGCATGAAAATTTCACTATTATTGAACAAGAAACCTTATAAACTCTCGGAAAAATTCTATTGATTTTATTGATTAAATTCACTCTAAACTAGAATATGTTTGCTTGAGGTTCAAAGGACTTGAAAGGTTCGATTCTTAACGGCAACGTAACACATTGCTACAATTGCCTTAAAATGACAAAGATGTGAGCCAGAAATATGTTTTCGATCGACTCTCGCTGCTATTATGCAGGGTTCTAGGGTGAACATAATGTCACATTTACATCTGTGCGTGGTAATTGCGCAGCCAGAGTGTGATTTCCCCATTTTGGAGCAAGTGGGGGAATTCTCCTGCTGCACTTTTGTGCTTTCGACATGTTCTCAGTGCACATCTCTTTGCTCTTAGATGTCCGTCTGAGGTGAACTCATGTCTTAAATGTATTCTTTCATTGATGAGCTTACACGAGGTTGATAATGATGTTTATTTTCGGCTCTATTCATGTCTTAAATGTTCTCATTTCATGCAAGTTGTTCGTGTCAGGCTAAAGCAAATAGATTAGATGACTAGTATTCATCGAAAACCATGTTTGAAAAATCAGGAAGAAACCAAATAAGTGCCTAAAATTCTGCGTGGTTTTCTTTGCTTAATAATATAGCAGCGTAAACGGAGAACAGTACACCATCAATATTTCCTTTTAGTTTTGTTTTTAGAAAAACCACACTGGCTTGCCAGATGATTATGATTTGCAGAGAAATCTTTCAGGAAGTGGTCAAATCCAGTTATGGCAGTTTCTACTGGAGCTATTAGGAGATGCCGCTTCAAACGGTCATTGTATTGCATGGGAAGGAGCCAGCGGCGAGTTTAAGCTCGTTGACCCAGACGAAGTTGCACGTAAATGGGGGCAGCGGAAGAGGTATAGAAAACTAGTGTTAAAACCAGGGAAATACGAGAAATGCCTAGATATCCAAATGGGAATATTGAACAGTAAATAGCAAGAGTAGTTCAGTGTAATGTTAACATAGACGAGCACATCCATAATTGTTTAACAACTCCCGCAATTGCTACTTGGTTACCGTTTTGTACAAGACTTTAATTTCAGCAAACCTAATATGAACTATGACAAGCTGAGCAGAGCTCTGCGGTATTACTACGACAAGAATATTATGACGAAGGTTTGTTCAGTAGTCTTTCTCATTTGTTTATAAAGTGGCAAATTAATTAAGCCGCTTAGGATTTTGACAGCGACCGATGGCTCCCTTAGTGACTCATAACTCCATTTTCGCTACCAAATTGGGAATTCGGGACATGTTGAAGATGGCCGGCAAGGCGAAAATAGATTTTCTTAGTAGAGCTATTAGCCAACCGTCATTTTTTTCATGAAATAATTTCGAAGTAGAAAAGCTGTTCCGCTTATAAGAGTACAGCTGTCGGCACTAATTCTCTTCAATGCATTCAATGCACGATGGTCATTTTTGTTGGTGCAGTACCATGTAAGCAAGCTGCCATTTAACTTTACCAAAAAGTAGTGCTGCCAACGAGGAGTTTTATTATATTAATTCTTATAAACAGCCAGCCTTTATCTTGATGGGTTTATTTGATTTTTGCTTGCCCATGGATAACCGCAGCTTAACTTGTGATGTTTACTGCTATGTTAACGTCGTATCATTACAGTATGAAAAAGGATAAAACTCTCGGCTTTGATCAATCCCTGAGGGATAAACCATGCACTCAACTTCATTAAGCATCGTTTGGAGGTGACAAGATGCATATCTCACCTTTACAATAACTCGCGGTGGCCTTCCGATGCATCGAGCTAGTGTTGATACTCTCTCAGGCAAATCTGGTACCAATTTGCCGACTCCGGAGGGATGGGAGGCTTGGTAGGACATGGACGCTTGGACTGATTCCACGGGTGTGTTGTAAGGCGCCTCCGACCACTGGGCCAGCCACACGCTTTCCTATCATTACAGTAGGCGTAGTAAAAGGAGGTTTACCAACCCGATCCTCCAAACCAACACACTGGTGAGAACTTTTGGCAGTGTTCTCCATTATATCGTAAAATTTATTGTTCTTTTCGTCTTTTTTTTAGCAACTGCTTTTGAAAGTGTGATTAATTGTCGCTTTTTAGAAAGTAGGTAGTTTAGAACTGAATCTATTCATTGGTAAGAGATTTTGGATGAAAACACCGTAAACCAATACCGCTGGCACATAGGTTGTGTGCCACACATACTCGGTATAATAATGGGAGAGAGCAACTATGAGGAATCATTTCAAATTGAACTTGCATTTGATTTAAATCGTCGGATTTCTGTAGTTCTTTGAATCCATTGGTACAATTTAATGAAATTTCGAGAGATATGCAACCACGTTTACACAAAGTTAAATTGGCACCAGTAGAAAGGTATTGCGCAGCAATATAATGAGTTAAGCATCTCAAACTATTGACTACAGCTGATGTGTTCTAACTTTCCTTGCTCTATTTCATAAGTCCACTAAAAAGTTGATAAATTACACACATTCACATTATTTCCCTTGATGTCAGTACAAAAAAACACTATGAATGATAATCTGTAACTTTCTACCTACTGCCTGTAATTTCTTAATGTTAGTGTATTATGTGAAAAACAATAGTGCTGAAAAATATGAAGAACTTAGAACCCAAGACAGATTCGAACCTGTGGTTACTCATTCCGGGGACTCACGTGTTACCCAATACATCAACGAGGCCCTCGTTCTGCCTTTCTCTTAGCTAGAATTCCGTTGAGTCATTCATCCACTGTTAATCGTTTCGTGGATTAGTTAAAACGAAAGTGTTCGTATATAATATTGGAGTATATATAGTACATGCTAAACGCCAGTGTCAACCAAAATCTGACACCACAATACGTTGGCGGTGCTTAAACGACCACCTTTAGAACATGGTATTATTATCATTTTTTAGAAAAAATTTTTTATTCATATTCTTAAAAGCCCGGTGATTTTTTTAAGCTTTAATGTTTGTCAAATATTTCGAAGCCTATATTTTCTGTGTCGAAAATTTCCTACAACGATGTTAGACCTTGGCTTAATTCTCTTAAGGATAAATAATTCCAAGTCTATTTTCTTCATACACTTAAATTGTTGCTCGACGTCTTCGTTTTCATCAGAGTTGATGATCCGAGTCGGTAGTCCACAGTTGTTCGTCATCTCGGTGTGGCGTCTTCGTTCTCGTGCCGAGACGGGATCTTCTTCAGTGAACACTGCACAAATGAGCTATGCTCACCTGCAGCGCTCTTTTATACAGTGCGGTTGTTGTTGATGTGATTATCCGTTGATAATAGTTTATTTTTCAATGAATAATCCACCCTTTAGCAGTCGGTTTTATGTTAGCTAGCACAAAGCGAATAGTAAGGATTTTTTCACACCGACTATTTTCTTCATGAACACCTGAACCCTCATCTAACATAAAACAAGTTTTGTTTTCGTACGATTATCTCAACTGCGCAAAAGCCGAAATTCGTATTCGCTCTAACATGCGGTAGTACCGAAGCCAATTTTTGCAGCTACCAAGTGTTTGGAAAACAGCTAATGTTTGATCAGGACCATTAACACATACGCGGTGCCGAGAATGTTTATGAAAAACCAAAGCGTTTAACTAAAGGTGTAAATCAGTGCTGAGCGAAAAAATGGAAAAATCTCATTCTTCGTCACTTTATGTTTAGATTACATGAATGAGCTTCACAAATTACGTTTAAAAAACTCGCAAAACTTGGTTCCTTTTAAAATAGAGTCGTGCTTTGACATTTTAACACGGTCATGTTGGTAAGAAACTTCGAATAAACTTGCAAACTGCTGCAATGGCCGAACCAAATGGTTTTATTTTTTTCTAATTGATCTCGTCTCCTTTCTAGCTCTTAAAAAAACTACTATAAGGTTTCTTTAAGGATTTTTTGAAACTCTCAATGTTCATTTCATGGTTTACGCCCTGACTACGATTTCTCTAAGAGGAGTATGAGTTTCTTGTACAATATCTGGCCCACACCACCACTCATGAAAGCGTCGCAGCCTCCAGACCTATCGCAGTTGAGCGTAAAACCTTCCGACGTGTCTTTTTGATGAGCTGCTTTCAAATTGTTTATTAAGTACTTGCGCTCTGACTGCGGTTCAAAAGTAGCCACTGCCTTACAGTTGTCTGTAATCTACTAAAAATATGAAATTATGAGAAATATAACAATATTATATTGCTAGTCATTGTGATTCAGAACTAGGTTTTATCTCATACCCCAAGGGTCGCTCAATCCAAATAAAAGTCTCGCATTTCTATCCACTTAGGAGCAGGCCTGCCTTATGATAGATCCTATTGAACAATTTGCGATATTGTGACAGAACCTTGTCGACGAAATGTGGTAAGAAAAAATGGAGTACATGCGGCATCGAAACCAGAAAAAAAAACCAGTTCATTGTTCCTTAGACAACAATGAAAGACGCGAATTTTGCCATAGAACTTCATTGTGACATGTTTGAACAAGAGAAAACCTAATTGCGCTAAAACTACGGTGTATCTTTCAATAAGAGAAGAGAAACTAGCATTGATTTTAAGAAAAAACTAACCTGTATCAAGAAACTTTATTTGACTTTATCTTTCACATATCTTTATGACTCCTGACGGCATACCGACTCATCGTAGCCGGGAGCTGTTCCTGAACGTCGGACTACGATGTGCAGCGCGAGGATTTATCCCACCGGTTAGGGTCACCTAGGCGGGGAAGGAGTTCATAGCTCCTACTATTAATCCTAGCTAAGAGTAAATCAATACCAGGTTCCCTCACCGTCCTGGTATCAAACTAATGGCATGGTGGAAAATCTCCCTCTGATCCACAAAGGAGGGGACTGCCTGTGGTTGTGAAGACCTAGGGTAGACTTTGGCTTGCCTGACCTCAAGACTCCTGGAGCCACAAGAATCAAGCCAGCAAAACTCCCAAAAAATAAAAATTATGTTGGAGTTCAGACAACAAGTGATGAAGGACAATCGAAGTATCCAAATAAGTATGGCACAATGCATCAAAAAAGCGAAATTGAAAATCCAAAGAAAACGCTTAAGAGGATTTAAAATAACAATTGACTTTCTATTCGTAATCATTGCAGCAATAACAGTGCACTTCATTAGAGATTGGCACCTTGGGGATACTACGAAAAGAGTTCCCGTCCTAAAAATCGTTTTTTTATAGTTCAACGACATGTAATTGCGAAGTAGGAGTCAACATTATACCACATTTTTCACGCATTTGTTCGAGAAAATACAGTGTCGTGATGTGTAACATAAACTGTGAACGAATATCACAATTTTGATTTAATATTCACTACCTACTCTTTTTAATGGCAGAGTATGTTGCTAAATATACCTTCAGTGATGCTGAGACTTTTGTAAAACTCCGGTTCACAGGTGTCTGAGGTGGGGAACGAACGCGCTGTTATCCTTTCCGGGGAGTAACGCGCTCACTACCACACCATGCGGGTCCTTCGCTTCGCCTATCTCTCAGCTAGTTCTATGGATCACTGCCATCAGCGAGTCCAGTTAAGCTGAGGCTGCAGCTGTAATCATAATTCCAACTTATAATTTACTGCCTACTCTTTTTAATGGCAAAGTATTTTGGGTAATAGCTCGTTCGTTTCCCACCGCATACACCTGCGGTCCGGAGCCTTGCAAAGATTTCAGCATCATTCAAGTTATAAACGAATGCTTTGAAATTCACGTAATACTAACGCTGTTGGAACAACAAAAAAAATTAAAGTAAACTCGTTAAAGCCGGTATTCCGCTATAATTTGGGCAGAAATAGTAGAAAGAATCAAAGAAGGGAACGCTTTTGGAATTATGTGGAATGTCAAGCGATTGATGTTGGTTCACGTCTTATTATCGATATAAGCCATTTCGAAGAATAATCGTCACTTATTTCTTTGTTTAGTATGACTTTTGTTGCTGGTCTCATTCCTTATATAATAAGCCGTTTAACTGTTTTTAGTGGCTTGATCCAACTATAATATGTGTAAACCATTGTGTAAACCACACTAGGTGTAAAGTCTGTTGAAACACGTAGATGGAACGTGTCCCAGCGGAAATCGAGCACTTTAGAGCAAAATTCTCGTCTGTTTTGAAGTCGGTTAGGTATCGGGTGCTACAGTTGTAATTTAGCAAGAATCAAAACGACAACTGGTAATTAGGGCCATAAAGTCTCAACATATTCGATGCAAAAGTGTTCCTTTTAGCTGCGTTAGGAAACCGTAGAAAAAACACGTTCTCTAAAGGAATGTTGCTGAGATTTGGGCACGTCATTTCATTTCTCCACAGAAACTGATGCTTTCGTTTACAAATTTAAACTTTTCTATTTGTATTTGGTATCTAGAGAAAAGTTAGGATTATTAACTATTTTTCTTAGTTATTATTCGTCATTCTGCGATTCGCTTGTGAACTTGGAGCGCAGATTTTCCACGCACTTCCACCATTTAATTAACTTTGTTCAGCATTATTTAAATTCTAGCTACGATCCTAGACATAACGAAGAGTTCATGCTTAACCGAATATTTTATTTTAAAACTATTCGAAGGCCACTTTTACTTGAATAATCACCAGCACAGTCTACTCATTGCAAAATTCAACCTGCTGTGAAAGAAAGAGCGCGATTTCACTAGTTATTTTCACTAGATGATCCACAGATAGCCAGCTTATTCCTCCTCTTGGCTGACTATTTGTAATCTTCACAACTGTTTCTACAAATAATCGAATTCATTTTTGCACAGGTTCATGGAAAGCGATACGCCTACAAATTCGACTTTCAAGGACTCGCACAAGCTTGCCAGAATTCCATCAATGCCGGAAGCGATATCTCAGGCGCAGGGCAATCTTTTAACCCATACCAAAATAGTAGGTATTTTTCAGATGAGAAACACAAAAAATCGTCTTCTTTCATTTTTTTATGAGATTCTGAAGGAAAAGCTACCTATTCACCAAAGTGTTCTAGCTTATTTTCATTAAATACTCAGCAGAGCTTTTTATTTTAAACTTTCCGGAATGAGAACGTTGCCGGCGACTTTCCACGATCACGAAATTTGAGTGACACCTTATCAGTAGGTCGTAATTCCTGCTGAAGTCTTATTTTTTTCCGCTATAAATTCCAGGCTTCCCTTGAACAAAGCATAATCTATTATAAAGATATTTCATCCATTCCACTTTCGGAAGTACTTTTCTTGAATTTGTTTTTAAAATGAAACAAAAAATTCGCTTTGATTCTTCGTCACTTGTGAAACGGTAACTTTCGGATCTTTTCATTTAGTATCCAAGCTTGCACCCTCACAAGTGCCGTATCAGTTATTGGGAGGATCCGAACGGCTAGCACAAGCTGTGAGTTCTGTTCCCAATACCATTTTTTAAACTTAAGAATGAGATGAAAATTTTTCTACCATGGTGAAAAAAAAGCTACGTAACTGCAATATGGGATGCTGTCGTGATAGAGATGAAGTGTAAAATGTTGTTCTGAAACAGATCAGTGTACCCATCATATTCCTTACAACCCACTTCTGTAGACCAGATACTGTTCACGAACTTTTAATCTCTTCGAAACGTCACCTAATTGTCATGCTTTTTGAGAGCAGGCGAAAATGCTTCGATAGTTGAAATGCGCAAGGTGTTGAAAACATGACAGAATTGTAGAAGACATTAGATCCGTTGTTTCGTGGCTATGACTTATATACATGCTACTATTTGCTGTCTGTTAGTATGGTCGTCGTGCTAATACATTGCGGTCGGCATTTGGAAGGAGTTTCTAGCAGGTGTTCAGTGTGTATAGGCATCTTCTATACTCTCACATTCCATATAATAACTATGGCTTGTCATGCGATTAAAGTGCAACAACAGTTGATTGCAATCAATGTTGACAGTTAAATTGCCTGTCAAGGAGCTTTTCCGAAAAGAGGTCTTTATAAATTATTAAGTGTGAACAACAACTTTTTCAGTCACATACCATCTGCATTGATCTGCTTTCACTTAGCCTATCAAGTGGAATATACATATCGAAGATGTAGTGTACATACAAGTTTTGGGACCCGCTGAACTGAAATTGTGCACCACAGTGTCCATAATTACGAGAACGGTTAAAGCGTAGCCAATTTGCGCTAACGTACGAGAAAAGAGTGGTAAAGATTTATTGCTCTAGGAGTGAAAACTCTCTGAAAACAAGAATCGGCTAGTCTTTGCTATATGCTTCACCGTACCTAGAGCTCATCAGTTTATGAAGAACATTTTAAAAATTACGCATTCAATTACTACTCTGTCTCAAATCGGCAACCAGATCTTTAAACCTGATTTCCTTTCCTATTTCTTCCCCATGTTTTGAAGCTATTTTGCTTCTTAATAAAAAGAATGTAACAAGAGAAGGACAGTTATCTTGCTCCTATGAAAGTCTACTATTTAGCCCAATTTTACTAGGATTTTTCAGCAGTTTTGCCACTTGGTGTCTGACCTCACTAAATTAGAACAAAGGGCAAAAATTCAGCATATCCAAGATTGGTTTTCGAATATTCTTTGTTAGCGTCGAGTACTTGTTAAAATTCGAGTCATGAGAAACAAACAATGTTTGTCATATTGTTTACTTTTTATTTCCTGCCTTTTATAATTTTTATGGCGAAACGAAATACAACCACAAAATTGCTGAGATCTTCGCAAAACTCCTCACCACAGGTGTCTGCGGTGGGGAACGAACGCGTTATTGTCCTTTCCGGGGAGTAACGCGTTCACCACCACACCATGTGAGTCCTTCGTTTCGCCTGTCTCTTATCTAGTTTTATCGAATTTTGTCATCAGCAATCACCCGTCAGCGGGATTGATCTGCGGAGCCCAAATCGGCAATGAACCCAGGCAATGAATGATCGGCTATGAATGGCAAGGTATGATGGGTAATAGCGCGTTCGTTCCCCACCACAGATGCCTGTGGTCCGAAGTTTTGCAAATATCTCAGCATCATTGTGAGTGCTTTTCATAGTATGCTCCACCTCTACATTCTCGTTTTTGATGTCTTGACCGCGAGAGTAGAGATGTTTCAATTGCGTTGACATTTAAGAATCCCTCACAAGGTCTATTAAGATTGTTTAGAGAGTGCAACTTTTACTCGGTATGAAGTGATAGAACAGTAGTAAACTATAAAAAGCGAAAAGCTGATAAAATTAGGTTTACTATAAAATGGTACCAGCAGTGGTTCCTAAAATAACATTTTCAATCTGCGCCGTTTTCTTGTTCAACAATCGCGAGGTTGTTAAACAGCATACATTTGCTTCGATAGAAAAACACAACACAATTCAATCAATGCCGAGGTTAATAGAAAGTCGGACGTGGGAGTTACAATAGAACGCAACAGTAGCTGACGTTTCGGCAGAATCGCCTTCTTCAGAGTCTGGAAGGGTATCCTGGTATACAATTTACTACGTCAAACGCTTCAATAACACTGACAAAAAGAGGAAAAACTCTGTGGTAACTACGTGATCAACAGCTTTTCGAAAAACTCACCGCTTTTTACGTGACTTCCAATGAGGAAGTTTAGAACAGCTGATTATGGTCGCATATGGTTAATGACTGCACAATTCCACATCAGAAATTGATGCGAATATACGGGGTCAGGTCGCGTATGCCCTCCGAGCATTCCTCCCTGCTATTCATTGTACGGTTTTTAGCATTTATCCAAAAGGCCTCAAGAAGTTCTAGCGCTGGTGTTTTAGTCTCCTGTGCAAGGATATTGACTTTTACTTCATAATCGTCTCCGCTATGCTTTTGTATCCTTTTCGTGCTCGATTTTGCTGCCCGATTTTCAGATGATTGGGGGCATAACAATACCTGAGAGTGCGTGTTCACTATTAGAATTGGGTCCAAGTTTTGTACCATTACAGCTCATTTCTATAACGACGCTGCATAGTGTAGCATGCAACCTTTATGAGCTTCAATATCGACTCCGCTTTCAGGCCAAACAAGAAACGTCAAATAGAGATAAAAATCGAGAGGCGGCGACACTACCACCATCTCCTTTCCCAAAAACGTTTTTAGACAGTAGAACCCTAACGATGGAGTTGACATAAAATTCCGCGTGTTTTCGGACGGCATTCTCAAGACTTTTAATTACCACCGGGATGCAAAGTTTATCTCTAACCTTACAGCCGCACAAAAATCTGGCATGCGAGAAATTAGAGAATTAATAAACTCGAAAACAACAAGATTGTCTGTTAATGGTAAGGGGGGAGAGTTCGTAGTTATTCTTCGCCAGCTGGATGCTGAGATAACAGAGGAACGTCTTAGTGATGCCACCCTCTATCGCCCATCCTCAGATAATGGCTCTCTTAAAGGAGTGCCTAAACTTCTCGATTTTCTGATGGTCTGGGAAATATTTCGCGCAAATAAGAGGGTCAGCAATAAGACAACGACTGGCACCAAGTCTTGCCGTTGTGTTTATGTCTAAGATAGAAGCCCCTGCTTTCGATCTCCGGCCACAACTCTACTACAGCTATGCAGATGATTGTTTTGTCGTCTTCTCTACGCAGAAGGAGATGGACAAATGTTTTGAACTATTGAACGAGCAGTCTGAGTATATTAAGTTCACTTGGGAGAAACCGAGAAAAGTAGCGGTTACATGACAAAGTGGTACCGAAGGCCAAGTCAAGTACATCCTCGTTCATTTCCTTTCTTCCCACTCTTCACACACAAAGTGGACGCTTGTGAGAAGCATGTTTCGAACATCCACCTCTGTGTGAACAACCAGGGAACTAAAGGAAAAATCGCGCGACTTGGCTCAGCAAACAGTCAAATCCAATGGCTACGAAATAGTAACCCCACGAGATTAGTTTAGAAGGAGAGCGAGGCGCCCAAGGGAAACACATGCCCAAAAGAAGCGATAGTTGAAATACCACCGGCTGCTCTACGCCGTCAATTTGTTCGCAACCGCCTGTATAACCGTCTGTGTGAAACAATAAATTGCGTAATTTGCCCTTATGGCAGAGACGGTGATTGCATGAGTTCAGGTACGATATACCTGATCTCTTATAATAATTGCGGAGATGAATATATTGACGAAACGGGCAGACCTTTGTGTATCCGTATAAAAGAACACCTAGATGGCAAACGAAAACTAAGACAAAGTATTCCACTAGGCACGCATAGGATTCAAAAGCATAGCGGAGACGATTTTGATGTGAAACTCAATATCCTCGCATCGGAGACTAAAACACCAGCGCGAAAACTCCTAGAGGCTTTTTGGATCAATGCCAAAAACCCTACAATGAATAGCAGGGACGAATGCCCGGAGGTCATACGCGACCTGATCCCGTATGTAGCATAGCGGAGACGATTTTGAAGTATCAGTATCCTTGCACAGGAGTCCAAAACACCAGCGCGAAAACTCCTAGAGGCTTCTTGGATCAATGCCAAAGAAATCCTACAATGAATAGCAGGGACGAATGCCCGGAGGTCATACGCGACCTGATCCCGTACGTTCGCATCGATTTTTGATGTGGGATTACTTCAACCATATGCGACTTATCACTGGATATTGCTTATCAAGTGAAACTAGTAAATAAATTTAAAACCTCCAGAACATTATTGGTTTCCCGAGCTTGTCATTCTATAAGCCGCTTAATTTTCTCATCTAAGTCATGGGCGTTTTATAATATTAACATCATTATTTAATTTGTTTCCGCTTTTTTAATTTTTTTTAACATTACACTAACAAAACAATAGAGCTGTCGTTGCATTTTTTTTCTTTTTTCATACTTTTTCGGTTATAGAAATCGACATTTTGCAGGTCCCCGTATGCAGTGCATATTGGCCTGCTCAACCACAAGCATACATATATCCAAACGTGACCTGTTATAACGCAAAGCCGTCATTGTAAAGTAGCAAGACGAATAATAAATATTTTTACTTACTTTTCTTTTTGTATGCAGCA